TTTTTTTTAAAAGGCACTGATTAGAAACAGAAACAAACAAACAAACAAATAAATAAAAGAAGTCCTGGTGTCACACTGGGTGAATCGTTGGACTGCTAACTGCAAAGTGAGTGGCTCAAATCCACCATGTGCTCCAAGGTAGAAAGGTGAGGCAGCTTGCTCCGATACAGGTGTGCTGTTTTGGAAGCCCACAGGGGCAGTTCCACTCTGTACTACAGGGTTGCTATGAGTCAGCATTGCTTCAATGACAGTTGTTGTTTTTTTTTTAATGACTTCAAGTAAAAAAAAATAGTTTTCAAGTTAGAGAATAAAGCTTTAATTTTTTTTAAAGGCACAAGCTGAGAAAGTTACAAGAAAGCACATCAAGCTAATGACAATACACTAGGAGTATCTATTGTGAAGTTTATTCTTTTTTAACTTTTTAAATACTACACATGAATCCTTTATGAAAGTAAAGGAAGGGAAGAGGAGGAGGGAGAAAGGCAAAGAGCATAAAAAGACTGCCCACAAAATTATTATCAATGCCAAAATGTGTATCCTGACATATACAGCTACTTAATATACACAAGTATGGACACATTAGTATGGTTTAATGTCGTGTTGTTTCTGTTATACAACAAACAGCTTTTAATAAGAACTGTCTTGTTTCTGAAACTTATTCTTTATTAAAGACCTTAGAAAGTTCCTGTACCCTCAATATTGGTAACATATCATTTTATAACTATCACTAAAGTTTTAACTTAGGTTTTAAGTACTTACATTCTATTCCCTGTGTACTGTTCATATGGGTGACAGTCACCAATATCATTAATAGCAATGATACAGCTGTTGATAGTAAATCTTATAGAGAGGTTATTTAATGTTTATTATCAACTTTAATAGAATAGGTAATAAATATAGCTATAAATTGCTTAAATATTTCTTAAATTATAGGATCACTAACAATAAATTGTTTTTCAAAATCTCTATATTATAGCATTATTAGTTAAAACATTATTAGTAACTTAGCAAGTCTTAAAACAAAAATTCCCCTTAACATTTAATGAATACTTAATTCTCAAAAAAAGGGTATTGATATAGGTTGACAATACATATTGTGGCTAAAATGCAAGATAATTTGACTAAATCAACAACTATAACCTCACTGGCCACAACATAACCAACAGTGCATGCTCGCGGTGCACGCGGATGAAGCCGGGCAATCTGAAGCACCACTGTAATTGAGCCATGACAGCCCGGACTCGAGTGCAACAGAAGGTTCACGAACTAAATTTAAAGAGTTTCGGCCTTAAAAGTCTATGGATGTTTTGTTGTTATAACTAACCACAGGGATATTGCTTTATATATATAAAAACGTTTCTGCTGAAATACTGTACAAAAAATTTTACAGTCGTTTTGGTGTCAACCCTCTGACAGTGTCCCCAGTGTGGCCTCCACCCACACCGCTCTGACCTTTGGCTGCGGCACTGATATACGTATATCTACGCATGGGACAGGGGCTCCCTGGATAGTGCCATACTCTGTATCTCTTGGAGTTTTCATACCCACCGGTAGAATGTAGACAGGTTATTTCTACAGAAGCTTTAGTATAAGACAAATATATATTAACTTACATGTTTACTGGGAGAGGTAGACGATTCTAGTTCCTGTGAGAAAACCATATCTTCAGTAAGTACGCTGTGATCTGGACTCCCTGGCTGCTCTTGAACTACAGGCTCAGATGATATATACTCAACAGCAGGGCTGCCCAATTCTTCTGGAATAGAGCTTCCACTGTTTAGATGAGAGTAGGAAGGTATTGGAGATTCCTCTTCACTGGCTATTTCTAGGATGGGAGGGTGAAACAGAAAAAAAGATGCACAATCTTAGTCAATGAAAAAAATTCAACTGTTCAACTTTATATTTGTTTTTTAGCATAGCATCACTGGCTGCATTTAGTTAGCAATTTCTTTAACACAACACTTAATCAATTACATTTACTACAAAGTCTGTTATTCACATTATGGAATTTTGCACGACACAAACTAGAAGATATCTGTAATATGTATTCACAATGATGACTGACAATCCGAGTGTTTGTGAGGATGCACAATTATAACTCATATATTCTTTAGGAATCAAAATTGGTCTAATGACTTTGGAGAAAAAAACTAGCATTACCAAAACATATCAGTGAGCTTAAAAAAGTGTGTGGAAAATAGAATTAAAGGATAAAAATATAAAAAGCAAAAACATAAGCTCCGAGTTTCAGATACTTTTGAAAGCAACCAAACCAGCCCCTCCCGAAAGAACTGAGGCTCCTTGGAATTCAACCACGTTAATACAGTCTCTAAAAACATGAGTTCCCTTTAAAGATATTTTAAGATTAGGAAACAAAAAGCAGTCAGAAGGAGTCAAATCAGGACTGTAATACGTTTTCATCAAAAATCCCACAAAATTGCCCTCATTTGATGAGAGGAATAGGCAGGGACTTTGTCATAAAGCTTTCGGCATTTTTCTGCTAACGCTTTAGTTAGCTTTCTTAAAACATTTTCATTATAACCAGATGCTCTTATTCTTTGGCCTTCCAAAAAGTCAACAAGCAAAATGCCCTGAACATGCCCAAACCCTGTCCCCATGATCTTTGCTCTCGACGGTTCCACTTTGCTTTGCCTGGACCATTTCCACCCCTTGGCAGCCACTGCTTAGATTGTGCATTGTCCTTGACTCACACTGGGGAAACCACGGCTCAGCTCTTGTTCCAATTCTTTCCAAAACTGCTTCAGGAACTTGAACTCGTTTGAAATTTCCATTGAAAGTTCTGCTCTTATGTGCAGCTTGTTTGGGCTGAGTGGTTTCAGCACCCATTGAGCAAAATGTATGCTCAACTTTAATTTTCAGTCAGAAATATGCAAGCTGAACCAACTGAGAAGCTAGCAATGGATCTCATTCATAACTTGGGGACTGTCTGCAATGGCAGCGGGGCTCCATCCGGCAAAGTAAGTCATTGTTAACGTAGGCAACCACCAGCCACACATTCCAGATCCTCCTATTCTTTCCTCTCCTCCCTCTGGTGCTTCAAGGGAACAGGTCCCATGTGTTGTGCCATGGATGTCTGTGTACAAGTTTTAGAAACCCAGGGCATTGCGCAACAAACTAGGAAGTAAAACAGAAGCAAGCACTATACAGGTTATTAGGCCAATTAACCGGGCTGTCCCATGAAACCAGGACCTTAATCCTTCAAAACATGAAACCAAATCCCATGAGGTACTTAGTTATACATGAGCAGTCACAGATGTCAACCTTTTCCAAAAAATGGTTATTGAATAGATCTTAGTTATCTACTGCTGATATAATAGAAATACCAAATGTGGATGGCTTTAACAAACAAATCTATTTTCTCACAGCTTAGGAAGCTAGAGGTCGAAATTCAGGGTGCTGGCTCTAGGGGAAGGGTAGCTCTCCTTGTTGGTTGTGTTTCTGTGCTATTTTCCTTTGGTTTGGCATCTCTCTTCTGTCACTCTGTTTACTTGTTTACTCTGATTTAAGATAGCCCTATACTAATCCTGCCTCGTTTTTAAAGTGTTGAAAAGCAAAGAGGTGACTTTGAGGACCAAGGTGTGCCTGACCCATGCCGTAGTATTTTCAGTCACCTCATACGCATGTGAAAGTTGGACAGTGAATAATGAAGACCAAAGAAGAATCGATGTATTTTGTGCTGGCGGAGAATACTGAAAGTATCATGAACTCCCCAAAGAACAAACAAATCTGTTTTGGAAGTACAGCGAGAATGTTCTGTTCTGTAGAAGCCAGATCATGTATTTGGACATGTTATTAGGAGAGATCAGTCCTTGCAGAGGGACATCACGCTTGGTGGAGGGGCAATGAAAAGAGGAAGGGCCTCTACAAGATGGACTGCCACAGTGGCTGCAATAACTGGCTCAAGCTTAACAATTATGAGGATGGCGCGGACCGGACCAGGTAGTATTTCATCCTGGTGAACACAGGACCACTAAGTATCAAAACCCACTCGATGACACCGAACAGCAACACTCTTGCCTCATGAACTGAACAAAATCAACCCCCAACTAGAATTATAACCACAGGCACTGAGATTAGGATTTGCACGACAATTATTTGGGGGCACAATTCAATCTATGGCAATATTACACAGTTCTACCAATTCACTCTTTTACAGATTTATACAACTGTGACAGTGATCACAAGAGCTGATTTGGCAAGACTATACTTAATCAAAGTGATATTGTTATCATTGTTAGCTCACCCTTCCCTCTCCTACAAAGAACTAATAGGTTTTCTTTTCTAAGCATTTGTCTCTTGTTATCTTTTTATATATGCATTGTTGTTGGGAGATACTGCTGAGTCCGTTTCCACCCATAGGAGTCCCTATGTTCAACAGAAGGAATAATGCCCCTACCAGTCCTCCAGTAACAGATGACGTTTTGGTACATACTATATAATATGGATAGAGCGGGAAGGCATTCGGCTGAGTGAAATCAATCACAAAAGGACAACTATTGCACAACCTCACATAATTTTTATTGTGCTAGTCTTAACATTTTGTAGGTATTTTCTTAGTTTTTAGAACAGGTATGCTCCAGCACAGTTGTCTATAAAATGAACTTTTATAATATGAATGTTTCCCCCAATGACTTGCATTAAAAAATAATAGATGTCAGTTTAAGGGGGGAAAAACCCATATATATATATATATGAAGGGGTACACCCTCCAAAAACCAATATTTTTATTCAAAGCTGTGTATTTAAATTTTTTTTACACAACAACCTTATCACCTTCAAAGTACTCTCCATTACACTCAATACATTTGTCAACTTTGCAATTCTACTCTTGGAAACATCTTTCAAACTCATCTGTTTACATCAGGCGTCCTCAAACTATGGTCTATGGGTCACATGTGGCCCGGCAAGGACATTTATCCGGCCCGCCTGGTGTTTTTGCCCCGTTTGTTTTTTGACTTCATAATAAGATATGTGCAGTGTGCATAGGAATTTGTTCATAGTTTTTTTTTAAACTACAGTCCGGACCTCGAACGGTCTGAGGGACAGTGAACTGAACCCGTTTAAAAAGTTTGTGGACCCCTGGTTTAGATGGGTGACAGCACCTCCCCTCATTTTTTTCCTTCACCTCTTCTATTGTCAACTCGCTGTCCTTTCATGTCCCTCTTCATTCACAGAGACAAAAATAAGTCTCATTGAGCAGGGTCAGGTGAGTAAGGTATGTGGGGCAACAAAGGCATGCTATTTCCCCCCCCAAAAAAACTGGTGCACTGAAATGGCAAAACCAGTCCCCAGTCAGCCACAAATCAGGCTGCTCTGTTGCACACTGTTATGTAATCTTTTCAGAACCTCTAACTAGAAAGCTTGATTAAAAGTCTGACCTGGTGGGATGAACTCCAAATGCACTGTCCCCCTCACATCAAAAAACAAATAAGCATTGTTTTGGGGGGTACCCCCCCTCTCGTGTACACGCATGCGCGCACGTGTGTGTGTGTGTGTGTGTGTGTGTGTGTGTGTGTGTGTGAAGGGATTAAGTTCTTGAGGAAAAGGAAAAGGTGACTTTGATCAACTGTGTCATTGATTTTTTTTCACGTCTCTTCACAAGTCTGGTGCCACAGAAAGGTCTGGCACTCTGCTTCAAAGGTCAGTGTGAAAATCACCTGCATCACAGTTCCACTCTGAAACATAGGGGGTGCTGTGCACAGAACTGATTCAATGCCAACTGAGCGCTTGCTGTGTATAGTTCAATGATTTATCGTTTAGCTTTGTATGCTTCTGAGTTTTGTATAAAATGAATTATAATGCTTGCAGTTTTGTCAAGAGTAGTTTTGTAACTCTTATACACATGAAAGTAAAATAATGTATTTCAGTTCCCAAAACTTGCCTTCCTTAGCTTAAAGGGAAAGGTCAGTCCTTTGAGTTAGTTGATCTTTACAAAATACTTTGGGCACCAAAAGTTTGCTGAGGCTGAGATGTTGAGTTAAACTGAAAACGTCAAAACCCAAGAGATGTCAACTTCAGAAACTATCATATCAATGGCAATTCTACGGTCTTCTTCACCCGATTCTGGACTTTGGCCAGTTTTTTCTGTTATTGAGGATGACTATCTTCCCTCTCTTTGGTTATCTGACCTTCCTTGAAACACCTGACCCCAATCTAAAAGCTCTTGTTTCTGATGGGTGGCATTTCTACGAATTTCTTGCACAGCTTCCATGATTTAAGATGGGTCCACGAGTTCTGTTAAAATTTTAGTATTAATCTTGCCCTCGAAATGTCCCCTGATCCCTGGCACTAAAAGTGTCTTTATCAAAGGAACCCTAATGAGTCTAAACAAATATATTGTTGAGAGCTTGTCTGCAGCTATCCACATTTTACTTATAATAAACCAGTCCACGTAGGAACTGAAACCTTGTACACAATATACGTCTTGGTTTACCATATATACTCAAGTATAAGCCAAGTTTTTCAGCACATTTTTAATGCAGTTTTTGTGGTAAAATTAGGTGCACCTCGGCGGATATTTGGGTTGGCGTATACTCGTATATACAGTAACCTTGTCTGTTGATGTGCATGTTGCCATTTGGTGTGCTATGAAGTTGGTTCCGATTTGTAACAAACCACATGCAACAGAAACATGCCTGGTCCCACGCCATCCCCACAATTGTTGCTCTCTGTGAGCCCATTGTGTGCATCCATCTTGTTGAGGGTCTTTTCTTTTCACTGATCTTTTACTTTACTAAGCGTACCTTGTCTTCAGGAACTAGTCCCCCTGATAACAGGTCCAAAGTAACTTAAGACAGTCTCACT